CAGCTGTAATGGAACTGAGTGAAAGTGGTTCGCCACCACTTGGTTTAATCTTAGAATCACCATTCAATAATCTTCGGGATGTTGTTGCTAATCATCCTTTTGCGACATTCTTCCGTTGCTTACCATGGTTCGAACGAACAGTTTTAGACTCGCTTAACAGATCCGGTTTAAATATGAGTACCGACGTTCGTATAACAAAGTATGTAGCTAAAAAGTATTTTCAAAATGAAAAATAGGGTAGAAAGTAAACAAAATTAAGATTTTGCTCCTAATTATGGCAATTTTTTTATAAATATCTCCAGCTTATATATGTTCAAGAAAATATTGTAACTAGTGATTTCAATTTATAAGGTTATGCAATGTGATAATCAATTTGAATTTGAGCAGTTATTATGGAGTAGATTAATGGACACAATAATTTGTTATAGAGTAGATTGTCCGATATTAATTTTGCACGCAGAGGATGATCACGTTATTCCAGTTCGCTTAGGTCGCAAATTACGCGACAGTGCTTTGGCTAGTCATCGTGATGTAATTTATGAGGAATTCAGTGCAAGTCGCCATTTCAGTCACAAATTCATTTATTTAGCTGAAGAATTACCTGAAATCGTGACGTAAATTTTTTATTTTTGAATAAGATCTAATAAGAATTAATCTAAGTCCCAGGATAAGAAATCAAATCATGCTCCGTGATAGTGTATTATACCAGTTTTATGTATCTAATATGAGATGTAGTTTATGTTTAAGAAATTTTTATTTTAGACGATTCACTGAGAGATGTCTTGTGAAAGCGAAGAAAGAAACGTGAAAATTGGTCGTCGACTCGGTGGAACTGAAGTGATTAATTTGTTCGACTAGATTTTTTTTAAATTTTTTCTCCAAACTGATTAATTTTCCATACATTTTTGCTCACTCTTTGTTAAGTTGGGGTTTCTACGTTTTCGCATCTAATTCTGGTTACTTTCCTTGAGATTATGACATTCTTTCTGTATAGTGCAAAATATCTTTGAAACCACTGGTGCATGTATTATTAAAAAAATTGGCTTACTAATTTTAAACTCATTCTAAATTCTGAATTTATTCTAAATTTACTACATATATTCATGAAGTAGCTTAAATTTGTAAAGCCAAGTTGAATAGAATTTAATTAGTGATGCTTAAGATTAGTTGTACATTTCTATCAGAACTTTCTATGAACAAGCGAAAAACATACTTATTAGAAGTTTTATTAAAATAAACGCATCTTCGTTGTGTTACTTATTGTTTTAAGATTTTTGTAAAATGTGTTAGGATGTCGTAACTTATCTCCAGTATTAAAGAAAAACAGTTTGATGAAGACGCGTATGCAGTTATTAGCATTCATTACCATTCAAGTAATTGTAACTTATCAGATGTTTTTTGTTTTCCGTAGTATGCATTGATTCGCGCTGTCATCATCATGCTTAATAATTAATTTATTTGACATTACTTCTTTAAATGATCATTTTTATAATGCTATAAGTCACCATTATCTCTGTGATAAGTCACCATTCTCCAATACCATTACAAATTTATTGCATTCCTTATGCATTTGCATGAATTGTCATGTTTCATATTTCCTGAGCTTGCGTTATTTGATTCTCTTGATCAGTTTCATTACTCATTCGAACCTGCAAGTAATGCGTCCATGTTTCCTTTTTTAGTATTATTGTGTCGTTAAATTTGTCAGGTACTGACTGCATGAAAGATGTATGATACAAAAAAGATAATTGACATGAGACTCGAGACTATTACATTGCAAATTTATTTTTTTGAAGTAGAATCTTTTGCGATTTTTATTGAGCATACAAAGAGTTTTATGTGGGATCGAAATTGTAAATGGAAAGACATTAGAGCTTAGGGAGTGTTTTCTGTAATTTTTGATGTTATTCATTATCATTCTCTTAACGGCATTGTGGAGAGGGTGTTCGGTAGTCATGTATGTAGAGGTCAAGAAGTCTTCAAATTCATATTAGTCCGTTTTTGTTGCGTTGTGCAAGTTGCTTGTAATCATCTTAAGTTTTTGGAATCGTCATTTTCCCTCTTTCTATTGATGTGTATGATAAGATAGATGCAGAGTCTGCAACCAACAAATGACAAAAGAACGTATACGGAGATTTGAATATACAGCCAAATATCAATCACTGGAACAGAAGGTCACTTTTGATACACAAATCCCGCTTTCAGATGAAACTACGGTTGATGAGATTATTTCGCACATTTGTGTGAAGAATAATGTCTTACCACTTTTTCATCAAGGTAAACAAGTACTGCAGAAATTGGTGATATATGTATATACATGAGAAAAGACATATACGTATTTCGTATCCCAAAAATATATGAACTATTTCAGGTGATCCTGTCAATGTCTTAGAAGAATTTTAATTTCCAAAAATGTTCACATTTTTTTCATTACTGCAAAAGTTCTGAGATTTCTTCTGTAGATTCCTACTGCATTGGCTGGTGATAAACCCTATGAGTTGGTCATTTTTTTTCTTAATTTACAGATATTGCCAATGCATTTCATCTTTTTATTGATGAGGAAACATGGAAGTATGAGGTGGAACTTGGTGATGCAGTTATTCATGCATTCTTGGATGAAGCAGACAATGCTGACGACGCATCGCAAGTTCATGATTTAGAGGTAGAATTGGTCAATTATATAATTATTTTTTTATTATGATTTTCTGTTATTTTCTCAGTTTCATTTCATGACTTAGATGCAACTTCTTTCAGTTTTAATAAACTTATTAAAAATTTTGAATGCCTCTACAAAAATAACAAATTAAGGAAGATAACAAATCAGAAAGTAATATTCTTAATTAATATAATATTCTTGTACTAAATATGAAGTACTTTTTGTTTTTTAAGTCAACGAATACTGCGGAATCTTTTGAAGCTGTTGAGTTTGCTAAACAATTTCAATTTATTATGCAGAACTCATCGTCTGAATGCTTGAATTTACTCATTGACTGGGAAAGAAAAATGGAAAATGAAGTAAGCACCTTTTTAAGTATGAAGATTCTTGAGTTTTGATTTTACTTCTTTTAATCATTATATTTTGGCTAAAATTTTTCATTCAATTTGTTTATTATTATTATTCATTTCAAGATGTCTTCATTAGTAAGTGCACGAGATTTTGAACTTGATAGAATGTATCAAAAATGCGAACAAGCTGTTTGTGCCAGTACTGAACATAATGATCAAAATCTACCCGAAAGTGGACAACATTTGAGTTATTTGAATGAACAAATTCGTGTATGTGGTCAACTCCTACTTATGTTTTTTTTTTCATCCTTACTTTACTTTGTATTCATTTCGCATAAGTTATTTTTTTTACTAAGCAGATGATTTTTTTACTCTTTAAAAGCCATATTTTTCGCTAATTAATAAATAATTAATCATTCAACTTTAAGATATTTATTTCACTTGATGATTGCATAACTTTAACAGTGTATTTTTTGTTATTTCTTTAGAAAATCCAGGTCTGATCAAAAGTATCTCTGTCTGCTTATCTTTGAAATATCATAGTTTCAGGAAATTAGCAACAATTATGCTCACCAAATCCGTACTTTAGCATCACAACATCGTGGTTTTTATCGAAAACTGGTTAAAAGTTTATATGAACATAATGAACTTCCAACTGGAGCAGAATCTGTTTTTTCACGTGATACACCCCTGGTTACGAGGTATTTCTCGATCTAATTTTGATAAATCTAACATCAGTCTTAGATCTTTAAAAAATAATTTCAGAAACTTTTTTGTGAAAGGATAAAGCTCGTTTTGTCAGTAGTACAAATTTCTACTGTGTGATTAATGTCTGATAAAGAAATCAACGTAAAAAAGATAGCAAAATAACGATCCTAGGCAGTTTTTATGCTTGTCCTTTCCTCGTTCATTTTTTTCTTCATTTAATGAATTGGTCTTTTATCGTTCCAAAATGCTTCATATTAGCATAATTTGTGCTATTTATTTTAATCGCCATATTATGATGAAAGTAGTGATAATAATATGCCAGGTAGCAGTGCATCCGTCTAGTGATTATTATTTACTAACAGAAAATTTCTATTGTTCAAGGTCTATATCAGAGGCATCTAATTGTGATTCGGTCAGATCAACTCCCTCTACTCTGGATGAAAGTTTTACGATCTATTTAGGTATTCTTTTTATGCTTTAAATTCTCGTTCTGGTAATTTTCTCATTTTCGCTGTTGTTTCCACGAGTATAATAATTTTAAATTATCCTCAAATATTGTAGAATTAGTTCATCATAGTGCTATTTTATTTTAATTTTCCTAATCAAATTTCAAAAATTTCTACAGTTGCAAACAATTCTAGTTGCTAGTGTTGTATTTGGTTGAAAAGCACAAATTTCCAGACTTAACATTTAAATATAAATATTTAATAATACAACTTTGAAAATTCTATTTTAAGCCAGAAATCACCGACATTATTAAATTGAAATAGTTGAGGTGCCCAGTTGAAAACAATGCACAATGCTCGTGTAATGACAACTGCAAATTTAACCGATATTTGTCGACCTCCATTAATCTTTGAAGATGATGTTTTGTCTACTAAGCGGTTGCAAATGAATCTAAGCTTGTATGGACGAGGTTTAAGTAGTTTGGTGCTTCTCGTAAAAAGTGATCCTATGTTTCACATCAATGAAAAAACAGGTTAAATTTGAAATTTTGTATCTGAACTTCGGTGGCAATTCTTACAACTTAATTATGTAGGTTATTGCATCTTTAAATAAGATTTTTCTCATAATAAAAGTGCTTTCATTGCAAACAACAGGCATTTAATGTATGAAAGTTTTCAGAATTCTGTAGATTGTGTGAACGTTCTACTGAACTTCATTTTGAGTCTCTTGAAGATCAACTGAAGCACTTATTACCACTAGTAAGTTTTATTTAAAATTGAAAATTAATCCATAAAACACGTCTTTTCTGTCAGCATCTTAACATTTCTAGTGGGTTAATAATTTCTATAAATACTTTTTGCGTTGTAGACTTCGGAAGTTAGAAAAGACAGAAATCGTATGACAGGTACTGATACAGATAATGATGAATCAGCGCTTCCAGTTGGTAGCTTTTACGTTACTCGGCATTCCAACCTTTCTTCTATCCAGGTTTTGTTTGGGAATTACTTTAATAAGCACAATCTCTGAGGTCAGTATTTGTGAAAAATTACCATATCTGTTGCATTTTTCAGTTGTGTTATTTTCATTACACAGATTACTTTTTGTACAGTAATATGATAGAGATGATTTTTGAATATAATTTTTTTATCTTAGCGAGAAAGATCAAAACCTTTTAGGAATTCTATTATTTCATTAGAAGTTGAGCTGAAGTAAACATGCCAAGCTACATAATCATGCAAAAAAGCGAATAATGAAAGACTTTCAGGTTATCTATCATTTAGTTGTTGATCAGTCATTGGAAAATAGTGAAATTTCTAGTAGGTTAGTAACTCTCTACAAATATAAAATTTTTGAATTTATTATAATTTTAAATAATGTTTGGTTATCATTTAAAAATTCTTATACTTGGTCAATATTCCATTTAGTTTTATGCATAAAACTGAAGCTGTTACTAGTAACAAATTTAAATTTCGTGATTCAACAAATATTGGAAATTTAAAAAATCAAGTTAAAAGCTTTTCTATTAGGAGTTTTATCAGAATTTCTGCCAAGTATTTTAAAAGTATGAAATGACTTGATAGATTCTTATTAGCATGTTCAATTTATTTGCTTACTGCTATTATCATTTATAATTCTTCTGAAATCACAGTTAAGATGTCATCATTAAAATTTTTTTTTTGCGTATTTATCATGTTAATCACCAAAGTACTTTATGTGATATACTTTGCATATAAAATGTTAAGAATCTGTCAAAAAAAATTTTCGAACTCTTTGTAGCAGTAAAAGTTTCCGTGGATTATTTATTTTGCATATCGTATATCAAATCAATTCTAACCATAATGCATATCTAAAAATGAATTGTTATTTGTTTTCAGACATCCATGTATTAATGGTTTACGAAATGCAATAAGACTTTCAGCTAAAAATGGCGTGACCACGTTTACAATACCACTGTTACTTGTTGAGAAAGCTAAAGAAGTAATATTGTCATGAATAGATGCGAGATGTGTTTATTTTGGTTTTTTTTATTGTGATAAATTTTGCCTCCTTAGCTATCAAAGTGTTTTATGTGATATAATTTGCGTCTGAAACGCTAATGTAGCAAAAAGAAAGTTTTGTAAACTTTTTTAGTAAAAAGTCTGTAGTTTATTTATTTAGCTCATTTTTGTTTGCTTCATTTTTTGCTTATTTTTTCATTTGACAAATTTTGTTAATAAGAAAAAACTTTGCAGCATATGACTTCAAGCTGGTGTGCAAAACGAGCTGAACTAATTTTCAAATGTGTGAAAGGATTCATGATGGAATCATGCTTAGGGTCTTCGGTTGCTGGTGGTGGCCCTCCTACATCAACGACGCATTTTAATGTAAATTTCGCTTTACCTGAGAATTTACAGAAGGCTGTTTACAGTGAAATTCTTGAATTGTTTCCGACAATATTTCACTTAGTTCCATCAGTTTTCATGTAAATTAAATACATGTACCTGTATTTCAATGCTACACGCATTTAATTTCTATTGCATTCATCACATTTCGCCAACTTTATACTGCTACTATTGCATTATCACAGTGGGATTCTATTATTTTTATTTTATGCAAACTTTCAGTACTACAGGTTTCTGCATCTCTTTTTCCATCTCAGTAGTTCCTCACTGAAATAAACTAAGCAAGTTTAATCTTCATATTCGGAACTAACTTTGTCTTTATTTTGTTTCATATTTTAGTTTATATAAAAAGTGAAAATAATAGAATGGTTTATCCTAATTTTTTTCTTCCCTTCTTTAATAATTTCCGCCTTTATGAATTGTAAAATAGAGAGAGCAATGTCTTGTACATCTATGTACTGTGTTTGCTGTAAGAATCAAATGCATCAAAAGAGGAAATGTCAATGTTTAATCATTTTAATATTGTATAGACTTCAAAATTTCTTCAATTTCATTATTTTTTTAATTGATGAAAATTCTACAATAATAGTGTGTTATTTAATAAGTGCCTTTTTATTTGAATTCGGAGAAATGATAGCATATTTCTGTTAGTATAGTTTCAATAAATTTTGGTACAGAAGTTCAATGCATTTCACTGTAAGATAACCTGCAAGAAAACAACATGAGGGTATTTAATTTTCAAACTGCAAAGAACAGTAACATTTTTCAGACTGCGAATTTGATCGGTTTCTACTCCAGTACATGCGTTTTTGTCATTGTACAATTACGTCCCACTCATGCTGGTTTTATAAAATCCATCATTTATTAATGATATATGTTATAGAACATCTTTGAGTATTACAATTTTAGTTAAACAAAATGTACGTCATAAAAAATAGAAATACCATTGAGGATAAGCAGTTGAATTCAAAATATAAAGTTTTCTTAATTTTTCAACAATCATAATGATAATCCGAAATTCTGTAAGTGTCCCTCAATACTAACACAAATTTTTTGTTAGCTTCTATTAAAATGACATGATGGCACAACACTTAAATGTGTGACTGAACTAGAATGTGCCATTATGAACAACTGATCTAAAGCATGGCAATGAATTTCTAGCCACATTTATAACGCGCAGTGCTAAAGACTTATATACAAAACAGTTTATACTTATCAATAAATGATATTTTAAAATGTACATTGTAATCAAAAATAACAGTAAATTTAATGCTTTATTAATAAGTAATAAATACAAATGCAGTTCTTTTAAAGCACATAAATGGTATAAATGCTGTTAATTTCTAAATCTATTTGAAGGTAAACTCTAATAAAGTCTGGTTTCAACTCGATAAACATTGATTAAACCTGATTTCTGGATGTACTGATGATCCTGGCATATCAATCTATGTCTTTTATACATCTTGCGAACAACCTGTCGTAGAAGAACACATTCCTTGCCTTTTCTTCGGTTACTTTTCATTCGCAGATTTTTCACTATTCATTCTTTGATATCATCTATCCGTCTTCTTCCATGTATGGAGGTCACATTGACAATTAGTTGTTCAGGACTATCTGACAGAACAATTTCAAAGCCAACTTAAATTTCAACTATTATTTTTGCAATCTTACTTTAATCTTTAATTACACTGTATTAATCGTAATAATGATAATAATTATCACTCTTCCACTGTTATTATCTACAATGGAAACAGCGAATGTTTGTGCTCAACAAGTAGTATTTGTACTTCTTTTTCATTATTTGAAGTTAAAGTAAACAAATTTTATAATGGAATTAGAATATATCTTCTTCAGATATACATCAGTATTAATTAATTTGCAAAGAAAGAAATTTCCTGCTTTATAAATTTCAAATTGATAATTTTGTTTAGAATCCAAACCCACAGCATTACTGGATTGTACAACAAGTTAATCAATTACCACGTCTTGCCACGTATGAACAATATGATCCCATTGCAAAGCCCAGATTTCGGCTCAATAATATGATAAGAGAACATGAACGAGCGCAACTTTCATGGTTAACTGGACGAGATGCACATTCACAACTCTTTTTTACGCCACCTCGTGCCCATTTACTACATTGGACAAGTAATCAACCAACGATGCTAAATAATCGTCAATATCGCGGAATCACATCGACTGATCAGCAACAGCTCCCCCCGATATATTATCCGAACATTAGAACAATGCAACCAACAGCATATCAAAGCAATAATTTGCAGCATATACTTGTTCAACCTGCTAGCTTCGCTCAATTTGGTTATATTCCTAGTTGGTTTCATTTGTTTTTTTTTGCTTCGCTTATTAGATGTTATATATTATTTATATGTATATATATACACTGTATGTCGAAAAAACCATTAATGATCTTGATCAACTAATTGATTGATTGATTGATAGATAGATAAATCATATAAACTGAGAACTGAATGTACTCAATTTTTCCATTTTCAAATATAAAATTACAAAAAACAGTGAAACGTAGAAGTGATGATGGCTGAGTGATGTAAACAGAACAGAAGACAACAATTTTGCAATGAGCAAAGAAAAGATAGAAAGTAATTTTCAGTGTCGACAATGCTCTCCGCAATTCACAGCATATTATCAATCTTGAAAGAGACAATAGACTCGAAGAACGGTAATGCCGAGAGTAATTCCGTCACTGCAAGTGGGGAAGAGAAAGAAAACTCACTCCCTGATGACGGAGGCGTTGAGGTATGGCGTGGCATGACATCAATCAGTTAATTAAGGATAATTTTAATTATTCAACTAATTAAATTACTTTTTAATTAACTGATTGACACTTTGCTTTGTCTTCTTTTTTAGCTCTTTCTCTGTGTACTCATTTCGTTGATGAGTTTGCAGAAAAGGTTACAGAATGTTGCTTGTATTTTTGCCTTTATTCTGTTTTTTTGTCTCATCTGTAGTAATTATCATTCGTGAATTTCAAAAGTGCCGTGGCAAGTCGATTTTTCAGATCCTGATTAATACTAAAGAACAAAAATATGAGGGCTAAGCTAAGCGCATAATTATCAAATTGATTCAGTTCTTGCCAGTTGTGCAAATTGAACTGAAACTAAGATTGAACTACATAGATTTCCACTAGCATAGATCGAACTATCAATGTTATGTTGCAGACTGAAGAAGCTGAAAATAAAAATGGTACAATGTTAGTACACAAGTTGACCGCGTTGGAAAAAAAATCTAAGAGTGAAATAGACAAAAATTATGCTAGCAGTGGGATGACATCAACAAGCGTGAATGAATCTGCTACTGATGACGGAAGTAATCTATTAGAAAGTTTACTGCGGGGCCGATTAGATAAAATTGACTGGATAGGTTCACTTCTTGGCACAAACCAACTACCGAATAAAGAAGAAGGTAGTGCTTTTGCTGAAATCTTCCAAGGTGGAATATTTGGTCCAGCAAACTAGCTAGTACATACTTTTTTATTTTTTTTAATATATATTTATATTTGTTTTATTCCTTTAGGTAGCACATACATTATTTATGCTTTGTGGAGACGTAAATGAGAATTTTACAAACGGAAAATTTTGCTATTCTAGACATCATACTCGTAACTATCCATTTGGGTACTGTTTTGTTGTAATATTATTTGAAGATGGTGATGTACAATATTTAAACAATTATATGTATATATATTGTTATGATAATTTTTTTATTTTATATTTTAGTATCACATAAAGTAAAACTAATTGCTTTAACAAAAAAAGCAGAAATATGGCAGGATCCTCATGTTGGTTTGGATACTGGATAACGAGAATAGGTTAACCAATATACACAGTTGAAAATCAGAAACATCACTGGAAATATGAGTCCTGAAAGAGTTAATGACAAGGATGTTTTGTGATAATTAAATAAAAATATATATATATATTTTTTTTTTCGAATGGTACATATATACCATTTGAAAAAATTTTGAAAGTAATATCAAGAAGATTTCTGATATTTAAGTACTTGACTTATGAAAAAAAGATATTTGTAAATAGTTTTAACTACTGTAATTTCTGATTTTTGTCAGATCACACTCTCGGGTAAAAAAGTCGTACCAAAAATTATCCGCGAGAAGTGTAACCAAAGCAAGAAGTTAAAATATATACGTTTGAGTTCTGTTTTCATACAGTAAAAAATGTGAGTGATTAAGTTTAACAGTACTTTCCTTTTTTATGTTCCCTACATGTCGAAAATCTGATTTTCTTGAAATTTTGTTAAGCACTGAAATTCTATTCAGATACTTTCTTAAATTAAATTAAAGTGTAGCCAAAATGCCTATTTGTCATTCATAACATTATTTCCGAAAAAGCAATCACTAGTATGATGAATAAGTTATAATTAAGCAAAAAGTGAAAAAGGTTAATTGCTAAATAATTACTCAGTATTAATCATAATAATGGTAGCAGTATGAATAAGAACGGCGTAAACGAACTTGACAAGTAATCGGCACGTTTTGCTTGATCCGTCGCAGCAAATTTTTGATTGAACCATTGGATCAAACTGCATTGCCTGCAGTATCTTTTGAGCGAATTCCAATTGTTCTCATATCGTCGTCTACTATTAATACTGCTCATTATGAGCTGCTCACCGCTTCCATCTTCTCGATCTTCATTTTGCTTGACCCAAATTTCACCAAATTCCATCTATTTTATATTAACAAATTCATTATTAACTACTTGACTTCCAATTCAGAAACAGAATAGAAATAACATAATTTTGAGTTGGGACTGATAAAAAGCTGTCTAGAATGATTGCCGATGATAAATAAGAATTTAGAGTTATTTTATTTCTAACCATACAAAGTAATAGTATTTCTCTTCACTACTTTTATTCTAATCAATTATTGCTTGAGGTAATATTTTGTTGTTTATGAATTGTCTGATAACAATACCAATACTTCTGCGAAATTTTCATTAATACCATCAGATTTGAATTCTTGCAATTCTCTCATACGTGATCAATTGTTATATTTTACACGTGAACCTTGTTAGGGGTATAGAAATCTTACTGATTTGAATTCTGTTAATTTAAAAGATACTCTACCGCATTTTTATTGAAAATAAGAAGTTGTTCAGTCATCCGATTTGATTGTGCTACCAATGCATTTGGCCTTTTATTTTCTTTCGTGTCTGTAAATTCAAAATCATTGCTTGGCTGAATTTGAACTTTCGTTTCAATCATTATTTTAAGTTTTAAATATTTTGATAAAATGAGTGCAAAATAAGAAACGAAAGATCTAAATTAAAGTTTAAAAATTAAGCTGTAGTCAAACAATTAAAATAATACGTTTTACTAATGGATTTCTTGAAATATTCTAAAAATTGTATTTTTTCAATCCCTTTTTTCATTTTAGAAGGAAAGCGATATTCAACATGAATTTATCTAAATTTCTTTTCAAATTATACTCTTTATATTTGCATAAAAATCCAAATCGAAATCAATTGTCCTTACTTTAATAATTTCTGAAGACGACTTAATGACAACAATAATGTGTTATCGCTGGAAAATTTTAAGTAAATTAGTTAAATTAAGCAAGGAATTACATACTTTTAGTGAAACTTCGTGATGATACATACGTCACCCAAGCAAATTCTAGCAAGGCCCCAAAAATAAAAGTAAGGCATGCTGTAAAATTAGTGCTCAGACGATAAAATGTAGAAATATTATTTTAAAAAAGTAGTAATATCATGGAAATAAGTCTGGCAGTGTTATCTTCATACTTAATTTATATAACTTATTTTTTTTAAGAATTTTCGATACAAAATTCTATCTTCATTAGTTTAGCGTAAAAAAATTCCGCTACTCATTTAAAAAAATTTAAAAATAGTCAGTAATATGTAACTATAAAAATTTTCACTATCAAATTTTTCGTTCTCAACTGTCCATCTGGTACACATAAATTTGAATCAAAATTGCAGACCTCCAATCCACACATCAATTGCTTTTGTATAAGATACGGGTGGCAATTTAGCGTTGATGCCAGAAGCCTATAAAAAGCAATATATTCCCGCTTAACTTTCATAATGTAATATTGTATTAGTATAATAATTTAATAGACTGTACTGTAAAATGAAATATATAAATGACTCAGTTGAAGGAAATGTGAATACAAGAGAAAATTTCGTTTTATGCAATATTTACTTGGGATTTTAGACTATGCTTTTGGACCATGCTAGTTTGTACTGAACTAATAACTGCCCTAATTTGTATCTTAAAATATTTTGCAAAGAAAAGGTTATAGGTTGTAACAAAATAGTATTTCTTGAATTTGAACTAATGTGGATTCAAAAGGTTTTATGCTACCAAATTATTAAAAATAAATTAAAGATTAAATATTCCACAAGTTTGATAACATTGCAAATAAACAGTTGTTTTTCTTTTACGTCGAAATTGTTACACATATTAGTGAGTGAAAATAATAATGAACCTGAGTAGTCATAGTGAGAAATGTAGTCACACCTAAAGTTACACGAGCAGGTACTGCTGAACGATCAAGCCAAAATGATACCCAAGAAACAATTACTAGCATAAAACTTGGCACATACAATTGCAATAAATAATAACTATAAATAAAATGCATTGAATTTTTTTAATTTTATTTAAAACAAAAAAGTTTGACTTATTGAACAAAGTTTAAAAATTCAGAGCGCTATTACTAAAATAAAAAAATTACAAAAATATATTATCAATAATTGATAATATATTTTTGTAATTTTGATTAAATATCTTAATGTCTTAATCTTTCAAAGATATTTAATCTTTATAGGTGCTAAATGGTAATACAAATGAGATCAGTATTTTTTTAAATATATGCGCCAAAAAGTTTAATCATAAAAAATTGTTACTTAGAGCATTTAAATATGAGTCAGTAATAGTACTTAATGATAACTCTTTTAAATGAATTGAAGTTGATGAATTAACCTAAACTGTCGTCTTAGTTCTAATACAGTGCGCAGACATGAATAAGTGCCAGTATTAGTTTTACTGGTACAAAAAGTTGTTGTAACATTGCTTAGTTGAAAGCTTGGCAAAGATGAGTGTAAACCTTCCTTCAGTTGAACAGGATCTTTACTTTTCCAAACATATTCTGAATCCACATTATATATTATCAAAATTAGGTATTTGTAGAATGTAATTAGTTAAATTGTATATCTTAGCACTGCACTGATACTTGTCGACAGTTTAAAACTTTACGGGTTTAATTCTTTTAATAAAAATTATAACTTTCAAAAAGTAATAAAAGTTGGTAGTTTTTGCTTATTTTGATGAAAAAATAGTGACATTTATATTTGTTTTCTTGAACTAATAAAAACGAAAAAATTTAACAAATAGTACATTTTGTATTGCAAGCACAACACTCTTAAGCCAAAATCTAACTTTCATTTTATGTACTTAAAATTCAATATATTTGAAAAGAAATAAATTGATTAAGTATAATAAATCAAGTCAATATTTTTTACCAATATCATCAGTGGTATATGCATATGAAGCGAGATCTATAAGGCACGTTTGAATATCCATTGGATAATACTGCAAATTTCAAAAATAGTTTTTGATCGATATACATTTAAAATAGCTAAAATCAGTTTTAAAGCCAAAAATGGCTTTTGATATTCATATAAATTTTAATTCATAAGAGTTTATATTTTTTTAACAAATTCCAAAAAGTTAAATTCAAATTCGAGCAAGGCAGTGATGACTTATGTAGTTTTTTATTAAATAAATAAGTAAGTTTAAGCAAGTATTACCAGTTTAGTGTTTCTAGCATTTTTAAAGTCTAGCAATTGCTATGTTAACAAGAAATGTTAATGGAATAGTAAGAAAATGCTTTCAAAAAATATGAATTAAATCTAGAATCAGAATATCTGTTCTGTACAAATAAAGTTTGGCGGTCCAAATACATCTTTGCAAGCAATTGAAGACAACGTGAAATTATTAAGTTCTTACGTGTAGATGCATAGGACACGACAGCACAAGTGATATCCTGACACTATATAATATAGTACCATCTTTATGTATTCGAATCAGAATATTCGGCTTATCAATCATGTGACGTTGGGCTTGTTTCTCATTCTATATGTATTTCAGAAATATTCATATTTCTATGAAAAAGTAACAGTAAGCAACTTTTACTTACTTCTACTTCGTCAATGTTTTCCAATGATTGCACGCGCGTAAAATATTTCGGAATGTAAATCTAATGACTGTTAATATATATTTAATATTTGAAAAGAAAAAAAAATTATTTAGTCATTTATTCTTTCTGTTAATCTTTTTTGTTATAGAAACGACTTCAGTAGTTTTAAATTTGAACAGAACTTAAGCAGTGCTCAATCTTAAACTTCGATTGAATTCATACATTACTAATTAATTCAATAACTGAAATCAAAAAAGAGAAGAATTTAACTAGACTTACTTGGAAAAAGGAGTCAGGCATCCAAATTTGCTGTCCTGCTGCAAGTATAACGAAATCTGGGGCGTTATCACGTGGATATCCAAATGCCAAACGTCCGTCAACCCAACTTTCACGAAATGTTAACTGTACACTGTATTCCATATTTACATCATCTATTTTTGATATGCTATAAAAAATTTCCTAGTAATTAATTATATTTTTCGTTCATTAAGAAGATTAACAGAAAGAATAAATATATTTCGATATTTCTTTGAAGTTTCACTTAATAAATTGCATAAAATTATATTTAATAATAACCTTCGTATTAGCATATTTACAGCAACAACAACTGGCCCGTGACCACCTGAAACTTGATAAGTATCGTTACTTTTATTGAAAAATGATCAATAAATTTAGTAAAAATAATCACAAATTTTAATTTTGACAGTGTAGTAATCATTAAAATTGATAAATATGTGCATAAGCTTGGGTATTCATGCATAACTTTCCACCTCGCATTAATTTTTCACGATGGCTTTTGACTTTCGATAATTATCTTTACCAAAAATTAGATAGATACTGCTTCAAATTTGATGAGATCCATTTATTATATAATCTCGTCTTCACCTGGAATACTGAGATTCGTTCCTGGTGGTCGAACACGCCAATCGTATCCTTTTCCAAGCAACTTATTGATAATATCTGTATCTGTCGATGCTTCGATTTCACTATTAAAAATTGTGATAAGGAATTAGCTTAAGTTTGTGATAAGATTATTTTTAGTAATATGAAACTGCATAAAAATTTTATAAAATTTGTGAAGCACAACAAAGTTTTTTTTATTGAAACAAATAATTGAAAGTTTTCTGAATAAGTAGTTTATTACTCGAACTTGTGAATATTTATAAAGTAAATTGATGACAGTTTAGCAAAATTTACCTAATTCTCACCATTATCAATTATGTTAATAGTGTTAAATTTGTAACTTAATCTTAATTGAAAATAAAGTGGTGGTATTTTACAAAGAGTTTCCAATAAATTCATATTTAGCGTTCTTTAAAAAATGCTTACCTTATTATGTTACTTTTTAGCAAAAATTTTATTATGGACATTATTTATTTTCAACAATACAACAATACATAAGTATTTTCTAAAGTTCTTAGTTTTTAAGTTAATTAAATAAATTTAAAGCACTTTTATACATCTAATAAAAATGTAATAACAAGATATTATGAAGTCTATACTGCGTAAGCAAATAAAAAACTATTCTACGCATGAACGGAAATTACCATTTTTTATTAAATTTAAAGTATATATCCGTAGTTTTCAAGTATTATTAAAATTAATGAAGCGAGAAAATAATATCTTGCTAAATATGCTCCCAGGTCTTTTTATTTTGTTAGAATAACAAATTTTTGGATAATAAATTGAACAAAATTATTTCAAATCACTTCTCCTCTTAGAACTCTGTAGCTTGATATCTAATAAAAATTGCGCATGCAGTTTAAAAATTAACATAATTGAAAACTATATCAAATTGAATATCGATAACAGATTTGCAATGTACAACTTACAACATGGAATTTTAGAAATAATGCTTGTTTAATAAAAAATATTGCTGAAGTTTTACTTCAGTTTATTGCTGAATAATATTAATTTGAGGCATTGGTATGAGGAAAAATGAGTGAATATTTTGGATAGTTCTCTACTGAAATAAAATTTTATCAAAATACTTTTCATTCAAATACTTTTGCTATAAAAATTAATGCCAAACATCAGAGGCAAAAATGTTTGCTTTATCATTTATCTTCCAAAAGCATGCAAAAATATTTACATGCTAAAATGGCTTTTATGCTAATGCATTACATTACACTCAAATCCAGTCTTTCCACTAATATATCCGTCCGAACAGTTTAATAAATTATCACAGTGTAAAATTCGAATGTTAGAAATTGTCGCATGTCGGTATTTAATTTCTCTATTTTTTTTAGCTTTATTAATTAGACTTGTAAGCGCTGCAAGAGAAATACACAATAGGAAGATTTTGAACAATAACATTAAGAATATTTCACTTTTGATCAAAAATATTTGCAAATAAAAAATTCTTTTCCAGAATATAATTTAAATATTTGAATATTTTTGAATTGAAAATATTTAATACTGGAAACGGATAAAAACTTTTATATTAATTAAAATTTATTTGATTTAAATTCTAGTTAAAAAAAATTGCGCATTTTACGGTTAAGCCAAAATAACGAATTACCGAATAATAATGGGAAATGATAATATTGGTAGAATAAATGGAAAATAGCTTGAACAATAAAATAAGCCAGCAAGCAGCAACGTTGACGAAGACTTTCGAATATTAGCGAAATGATGAAGCATTCAGTAGAATACCAAAACAAGTGTTATAAGAACTTAATCGATCGCAAATTATGCAAATTGTTCGAAAATCATTTAAATATTTCACGCCAGTGATAGTCTCCTTCATCCAATACTGTCTGTTAACGCTATTCAATTTCACGTGAACTTTTGAACTTTAACGTGGGATTCTTTTACAAGAAAAGTTAAAAACTCTGAAATAATCAGGCAAATTCATATTCAAATGTTTTTCTCTTTCTCTAGATTAATCACATTCAATGCCATTTAATAACTTCATTTTTGTGATCAGTGCAATCAAACGGAAATCACAAGAGTACTTTAGCTTTAACTTAAAGCATTTTTAAAAACAGAAATGAAAATTGCAAAAATTTTTTTCATTAATCATTTTCAGGTAAACTGCTTTGCATGTTAATAGTGATCATCAGTTTTCTATGTACTTTTTTTATTAGTTTGGAACGGCAATAAAAATAAGGAATAATTTCAAGTATCGAGTAAATTAAATTTACCTAAAAATTGACTAAAAATAAAACTTAATTGCAGTTCGAATATTGCATATTAACTTATGTTTATTGTAGTAACTACAAAAATATCAAGTATTATTAATAGTACTACTAAAATAGAAGTTGACTAATTATTATTATCGACCGTAACTAGCACTTTTTCAGTATTTCAACAAGAATGAAAAGCAAAATATTGTAAATTCTTGATTTATAATAGATGATAAATTTGTTAAGTAAATAGAAAATTGAACAAGGCTATGGAGTGCAGTGGCGAAGCAAATCAGATTGATCTCAACTTAAACTAAAGTATTGTTAGACTGATAGGCGGAGTTAGTTCAGTTCACATTGGTAGTCTTAAAAATATCAAAAAAGTAAAAAAATTCAAAAGTTAGCATTCAGAGCAGAGATTTAAAAATTTCAAGTGTAGAAAAGTAAAGCTTTAAACAAAGCCAGTTTTCAAGCTCCATGAACTTATCAGAAGTATATTCTGGCTGATGGTGTTAATATTTGCATTTATGTATGCGTATATATGCATGTATTTACATGAATACAAATATTCGTAATTAAGTAAACTTTGAAATATTTTACAGTATTTAAATTTCTTATTCGTATGACAGTTCAAATAAAGTTATCCCAAACAGTTAGTTTCTTTGAGCAATAAAAGCCACTTCAAGTTAACTTTCTTAGAAATGAAAATGTGTACTTCAATTCAGAAAAATGTAACTCTTTTCTAAATCAAAGCAAAAGGGCGAAAATGAATAAAGCAATATTTTTTGTTAGTTATTATGAACAAATTTTTTTCCATTTGGTCAATTTTTTTCTGTTCAAATCTTCTATGTCTAAGCAATAACATTCAGTCCTTTTTATTGCAATCAAATTTTAAATTTAGTGATAATATTAATTGAGGGATAAGTTTAAGATTAAGCCTATATTCTTCTCAGAAAAGCGTTATCAGCATAGTAAAAGTCTCGACAAAATTTGCATCTGTTAAATTGAAAGGCTTTCAGTTTGAAAAAATTGAAATGCTTGTATAAGTTACTCTAATCACTGTGAAAACCTTGTTGAAAGTTTTGACTAGAATAACTTTTATTTTTGTTTTGTGATGGATCACTGATTAACATTAGCGCTTAAACTCATCTCATTTAAGCATATTTTTTGGCAGTTAATAAAGTAAAAAGTTATTGTACAATTTTTTTTTCCATTTTAATTACATCAAAGTTGTGTCTAAGAATAGTATAATACATTTTTACATGTACAAATTTTGGTCACCAAATCGCTAGGACTTATTTATTTCATGACGCAAATTTTTCATTTTTGTGACTTATAATTTCTAAAACATTTATTTTTTAAAGAACAATGAAAGTTATTCATTATTGTACTCTGAAAGTTTTAACTACATTTTTTGAAATGTTACTCAATTTAACATTCAATTCAAATTCATCATAATATCCACTTTGACCCAAAAGGATCAAAGTTTAAATACATTTTGCTAAATAATAAAAGAATGCAAAAGAAATTATTGTTTTAAATTTGAACATACCATTTTGACTTTTTGCTTTAATCTTTGTAGTGATATATTATTTTTAGGTGCGGTTAACATCACAACAAATGCCTTCAATCTAATAATTATTCCTTAAGTCAAATTTATAAATTAGATCATGGATCAGATCCTGATTTATGCATATCTCGAGACCTAATAGCAATCATTCTGCTAACTTTTTACACTTAGAAATAAAATCACTTATATTTTGCATTTCCTCAGTGCAACTTGAATTATGCAAATTTGAATCAAAACCTTTGTTTTGAATTTAAGCACATCACTCTGTCCCTTGTAATAACTGTAATTTAAATTTTCTATATTTTAAATTGATATATCATTCGCTTGATCAAATTCTAAAGGTAAAGAATAGAGTCATTTGAAAATATTGAGCAAACACAGTCAAACCAGCATTCATCATTTGAATGAACTATTAATGCTGCATATCACTATATAATTATACCTCTACATCAGATATATTATACGAAATTATAAAGCAGTCTTCAAGAAATTCTTCTCCTAATTAATTTATCTACTTTTTGACCAGAAGAAACGATATAAATCTAAACACATTACCTCTCAAAAATCTGTTCACAATCTTCAGAAACAAAACTGGCATAATACATGTTTTCATTCAATTATTTGATTTTATACCTATCATACAAACAAGAATCAGAAAACATCTAGAAAAATGGTAGATCGAGCGATGAACAATCGCTTCTGGTTTTCATTCCAGTCATCTTTGAAGAAATAACATCGAATATAAATTAACTCCTTCTGAATGCATCTGAGCTTCACGTCTTGAAACTGATCGCTTTGGAAGCGATTTAAATTTATTTACTTTTAATTAGCAGTTGATGAGGATAGTATTTATCATACATATATTTTACTTTTTTTCTTTCAAATGTCAGAAAAAAAAATCATTTCCAAACTTAATCTTTGTTAAATTTAAATTTTTATAAAATCGAATTTATCTTTATTTTATTACTTTCGGCATAAATATATTAAGATTTTAATGTAAGAAAGAAGAAATATTTTCAGTTAATAATTTGCTTGTATTCCTGATATAATTTGAAGTTATAAGTGGGATTTTCGAACTTTTTCATTTACAACACACACACACACACAACACAATTATTGTTATTATTCATAAAAGGAAGCGTCTTGAAAGCGTTGCAGAAATGAAGGAAGTAGTGATTAACCACGGGAAGTGAGCAATTCTACGCTTGCCTTCACTTTTGCCCTTACTTTTTTCCAAAATAACGAAACGAAAACAGTAAAATTTAACAGAAAGCAGAAAAAAATGACAAAAATAGTTGTCTGCCTGACTTTTGCGTTTAAATTAAAAATGATGCATAGGAAGTGAAGTGGTAAAGTATGAAACGAGCAATAAAATAATGTATGAATGCTACAATAAGTAAATTAAGCAACGGAAATGACAGAAAGAAGAAGGCACTTTGTTGCTTCACTAATAAATCTTTTTCGCAGTGTTACATTTTTGTATGCATAGCATTGAATAGAAATAACGCAAAGT